TTTTAACCTCACTCTGTCCTGGGCATTATGCTCTCTACTGAGTCTTTCTAGCTCCTCAAGTTCTTTCTTGACAGCTTTTGCTAGTGATGCGTCCAAAACTACAACCCTATTGAAATCATCCTTAGCCTCTTGAGGGTTCCAGCATTTCACATGAGCCTTTGCACGTCTAAACAAAGCCTTGACATTATCCTTATCTTTTTCAAGAACTGTCGATGTGTGCTCAATAACTTCATAATAATCACCAAGAAATAACTTGCACTGTGCAAAGTTAAGCAAAAAAGGAATCTTCATTCGATCAAGATTTAACCAGGGTTCATCACCTGGTTTTTCTCGCAGACATAACTGCTCAAGACAACCCAATGCCTCTGCATATTTTTCTGCCGCCTCTTTATACTTTTTCTCTTCGTATAGTTTATTCCCTGCCTTCTTTAATCCAGGAACAATTGACAACTTTTCTTCGGCATCCATCTGCCATGTTTCTTTTAAGAATTCACCAGGTTTTTCATACTTCAAAAGTTCTATTTCGAAGACAAGATCCTGTTCATTGACAAGTAATTCGTCCAAGTCTGGGTACCCTGTGGATTTCATGGCTGACAAGCTACACGAATGTTCATGATGGCTGTGTTCCTCAGGTAACTCTCCTTTTGCCTTCTTAGCAATAGTGCGCAGGCTCTTGGACACAATTGGATAACCTCCTACAAGCTAAAAATACCAGTCATTAGCTCATAAGAGGAAGTACGGTGTCACTTTACCGTACACGACATAGTGAGCCTATACCACAACACTAAAACAAACAATTCCTACTTTGAAGAATGGAATCACTTTTAAAAGAAACTGTGGTTCTGTGACAGTGGGGAAGTAAAAGACAAAAATTCTATCTCATCAACTAAATAGATGAAGTCAATTTATTATGCTAAGGACATTTAGAAGCAGACATTTTAACACCTAACCGTTTCTCATAACAAATCAAGGGATTGTTATTGGTGTGTGGTTTATGTTTTGAAGTTTAAGGCTATGCCATTGGTAGAAACGTGGTGACATTTTTATAGCTCATAATATGAACAGCAGGGTTGTCAGAAAGTTTTGAAGTAGACGAATGAGTTGGCAATGTAAGCAGCCAGTCCAAGGATACTTTATTTAAAAAGCGCCATCCATAAAGAAATGCTAAGCAGGGTAGCCGGCCGATACTAACCAAGTAGGTGGCGATTTTCGCCCGCAGCCGGCTACTTTTGACAACCCTGGAACAGGTATTTTTCCCGATGGTAAAAGCAATAATGAGTCTGCATCCTTCAACCCTTTCTTTTTGTGCCTGTCTTTCCTCATGTTTTCTACTTTCTCAAACTCTGCACTTCCAAAATAGATGAGCAGTATTGCTGCCTGTACATTACATGTCCTTTGTCCAACAATCAGGGCTCTTACTAAGGGCTGGGGATTCCCCCCAATACTATGAGCGTGATGATTGGCTATTTTCAAAGGAAACAAAAGGAAAATGGAACCAGGAGAAATTCCTAGCTGCTCAATTCCCCATCGTCTAATTGTATATATATGGTACCTTAAAATCTTAGTGACAGCCCTGAACAATTTATTTATTATTAATCTTGGACGGATATTTATATGAAATAAACACTTAATAACTTCGTACCAATTTATTGCATGTAAACCGAGCCACTTCTTTTTCTCTCATGGTCTTTATAAGTTCCTCCCACACTTCTAATTTGAACTTCTTCCCAATAAGAAGCTCGAATGGCTGTCCAAGCTCTTTACTACAATCAATAGGAGTTTTATCTTCATCTGCTTTGAAAGTCTTGAAATGAAAGGTGGCCTAAAATAAAACGTAAATATGTTTCTTATCAGAGATATTTTTACACAGCAACCCTCTGAAAATAGCCTCCCACGCAGGCATTTTTAGAGGAGCTCGTTTTTCATCCCTCCCCACAAACGTTTGTGGGGACGGATGAAAAACGAGATCCCTAAAAACGCCTGCGTGAGAGGCTACTCTGAAAGCAGCCAGTTCTAAAAGTCCCGAAACAGATGCATAGTTAGGAAACAGTAAAAAAAAAACAGCTCCTTCGAAAAACTGTCGGCTGACAGACTTTAGGGGAGCTCTTCTTCACTTTTACCTAATTTCATAACGATAAAAAATACCTTGAACTAGATTTTACTGTAGCTAGAGAGTACTAAAACTGTGAAAGGTTTGATCGTCCGGGTGAACGTAGTCCTGAATAGAGTACTGTAAGAAAATCAA